GCCACATCGAGCCACATTGCCGCATCGCTCCCCCTACCGCTTTTGGCTGCATCCCGCTTTTAAAAACTCTACCACCTCCCCCCCCCCCCCCCTTTATTTCCTTTTTTTTTTTAATTGTTTAAAAGTGATTTTTAGAAGTTTCAAGGTATCAAACTACTCGAGCTAGACCTACAATCTCAAGCTATAAGGTGTAGTCATCTTTTTTGGCATGAAATGGCCAATAGTAACCAAAGTAATGGTCTACGTTCTCTACTTAAGTCTTTAAGAATGAATCGTGTTTACCCAATGAAGAGATTGCAACTCCAAGATGTTAGAAATAATGTAATACAAATCATGTAAACGTGCATGTTGATTTATGAGTAGGATTGAGACATCTATTTTTTCCTCCTCAGTTCCCTCTCAATTCCAAAGATGTCAGAATCTCGATTCCATATTGGTCGATTCCAATTAAGTTTGAAACTTGATTCCAAAGATTTAGGAATCTCGATTCCATCTACATAGGGATCTCGATTCTCTTTTGGTCGAATCTCTATTCCTAGAATAGGAATCTCATCCCCCCTGATTCTTCTTGTATGGATGCCGATTCTGAGAGTCTTCCAGCCAGTGGCGATTCCGCGCTTCTGATTCCTAAATCGGTTTAATTTTCGAATTACTTCAGGTAACTATGGAACAGTCACCAACCTTTCTGGTTCCCATCCTTGGCCAAATTTACGATTCCAAGGACCATCCTGACATAGTTTTTTTGAGAATGTTAACTTTGTATAGAATAAAAGAAATTTGCATGAATAATGTTCTATGTACAGCATCCCACATATCAGGCTCAAAATACAGAAATTAAAGCAGAGAGAGCGCTGAGGTTCAGGGGGAGAGAGATAGTTCAAAAAAGAAGCAACCCCACTTATTGGGTTTTAAAAAACAGAACCTAAACCAAGAGAGCGTAGTTGTTCAGGGGGAGAGAGAGAGGACCAAAAGAGGAGCAGGCATAAGATAATACAGCGGTAATGAGTGAAAGTAAACAAAAAAGAAATAAAGCACCACATTCACAGTGAGCGAGTCTTCATGGTTTCCTGAGGGGGTATTGCTGAGAGCCTTCATTTCTAAGAAAGTCTTCAGGTTGAGAAAGCATTGCTGAGGAAGTCTTCATGATTGTCTGATGGAGAATGCTGTCAGGTCTGGCTGGGATTCTGCTAAGATGGACTTGATGGCCTGTGGGAGAACTGTTGGTCCCTGATATTAGAAACCTGCGGTTCTGAGATTGGAGTACATGGCCTGTGGGAGGACTGCTGGTCCCAGAAATTAGAAACCTGCGGTTCTGAGATTTGGAGTCCATGCTTCGCAGTTGTCTGTGTGGTGTCTCCTGTCTTCAGCAGTGTGGCTTCCTATAAATCAAGCGGTAAAAGGCGAAGGGGCAAAGGCAAAGATTAAGTCTGAGATAGTAGCGATATTGCACATTTGGCATCTAGGGACGTCGAAGGAGTTGAGAGCGATGGAAATGCGGAATGAGTTGGTAAGAAGACAGAGATGGGTTGTGATACTCCTGATAGGGAATGTGGAGCAGGTCGTGTTGTGGAGGTTAAAGTTTGGGATATTGAGGGATGACTGAGGTATGGGTTTTGGGGGCAAGGAGGTTAAGAGAGAGGGTAGATAAAAGATGAAAGGGAGCTATAGCCCAAAGGCGAAGTAAAATATGCTAGACTTCCATATGCCCAAAGAGTTGTAACAGGTTGTCTAAGAAGGAGAGTGGAGAGGGGGAGGAGGATGAGTAAGTGGGAGAAGAAGAGGGGGAAGAATGAGAAGAAGAGAAGAGAAGAATGAGGAGAAGAGAGCGATGAATGTGAGAAGCGATGGTGAAGAGAGAATAGAGAGATGGTTGTGAGAAGCAAGGTGAAGAGGTAGAGAAGAAAATAGAGGAAAAGTGCAGTGGAGAGAGAAAAAGAGAATATGGGTGAGACTGGAGGAGAGAGGATCAGTCCCATTCTCAAGCAAGGACTGGTTAAGTCTCTGAAGAAGGCCCAGTGCTTTTACGTATACAAAAGCTCGGTTTTCCCTCCCTTTGACTAATCGTTTGATGAAATAATGTCCTTCCACGTTATTTTTACATAAGTTCCTTTATGCTCAAGCAAGGACTGGTAACCTTCTTAGTTTTCCTAGTGCCCCGATATCTTAGGTGTGCTCATTCATTCCAGTTTGATATATAAAAGCCTCTGACCTTGCTGGCATCTGTGCCAAAAACATCAGGTTGTCTCTTTTGTCTTAATCACTTCCTTGGAAGGAAGTAAGTTTGCTAAGTGATATATTCATATAGAGGCAGCTTCGTCTCTTAGACTTCCACTAATTGTAGACTCCCCGAATTTGTTGACAGGAGGTCAAGGGTTTGACGAACAAACTAATTTGACCTACCCTTTTTTCTTTCACAGAGAGGCAGCTTTGCTAGTAACTTAAATGAGAGTAATCCTGACTTCTGAGAACTGCAATACCCCTTTTCAATAGTGTCCTCGTTCGTGATTAACTTATTCTTCTTATTTTTTTTTTAATTTTATAGCGCTTATGTAGCAAATGGGCTTTTCTATAAGGGTTTCTTTTTTATTTTAGGAGTTATGCTACTTCTTAGTTTTTAACACATGGAAGAAACCAAACATAGAATGTGCATTTATAATTTTCAAAGGCTTTTTGACCCTTCTGTAGTCGTTCAAATATTGATTATTATAGTTTCATGTTACTTTTATTATTTTTAACCACTATTTGGTATTTGTTTCAGATTTTTGCGAGCCTTGTCCAAGCAATGGCTTGTGTTCTGAAGGCAAGTTGTCATGCATTGATGGATATAGAAAGCATGGGAGATTATGTATTGAAGATGGAGAGTTAAATGAAACAGCTAAGAGACTTGTGTGTCCAGGAAATTTCTTTTTTGAGCTCCGAAACGGGATGCAAATTTTTCTGAATTACCTTCCTTTAGGATCTTTCCAATGCTAGTAGTTACTGTGTTAAAAATGTGCAGTCAAAGATGGTTGAACTTCAGGCTTGTGGATCATATGCACATTTCCTTTGTCACGGAACTGGGGCAATCTGGGTATGTTATCATAGTTCTCCTTTGAGCACCATCCTTAGCCTATTTATTCCATTGTGGATCTCAACCCATCTTTTCTGTAAATAGGTATGTGTGTACAATAAGTAGACCTAGTTCTTACAAACAGCTTGCAAAGTTGAAGCTTCAAGCATCACTATACGCAATTTGGAATAACTTCAACTGAATCTTATATGTGCAGTTTCAGGAAGAAGAAATCTTAAGATCTGTTTGGGAATCCAATCTGAAAGTAAACTATGGAATTGACAGCCACATATTGGAGCATACAATACAAAAAGTACGAGAAATAGTAGAAAGCTCATTTGACATCAAAACAAGTCCTGATGGGTATGTTTACGCTAGATATTGGACCAAATTGGGGTACTAGACAGAAACATTGGAAATGTTGGTATGGTTTCTGTGCAGGATGAGAGAATTGAAGTGCCCAGACTGGCTAGCAGAACAGTACAAACCACTTCCCTGCATTCTTCGTATATGGTTCTTAAATCACATTCATTATATACTTCCAATTTCATTACTGGTGTGTAATCATCACATCTTCTAAAGATTTACGGTGCATTTGTTTACCAGAAGCTGCAGCATCCAGAAGCTGTGACTTTGATGACTGTTGCATATCCTGCTTTTGTTTGTGGGAAGGGTGACGACGTCAAAGCAATATGTTTTGGGGAAGCCATGGGTTCCTTGCTAACCCCTGAAAGCAGCTTCCAAAGTGTTGTGAAAAATGGGGCTTTGGCTGCTCCATCTTTGTTTAATAAAACACATTCTTATTATTGCTTTCAATCAAATAGCATGTGACATATTGATTCCAATCTTCAGCTTGTAGCATTTGTGAGGCTTCTTTGGAGGGTTCACATGCATAGAAAATTGTCAACCAGAGCTGAGCAGATTTATGAGCAGGTATTCTTTTGAGCGCTTTCAAAATGTCCATTTCATGTTTTCAACCCCGATTGTCGAAAAGGAAAGTTAAGCATGATAATCATGCAATTGGCTATTTTTTTAGGAAACCATTGGATACTTGAATCCCCAAAGGAGCCAGCAAAAGGTTACTCTTTGGCCTCATCTATACACTTGCTCTTCTCAGAATCCAAAATGATACCCTGGTCTGACTAGTCCTGTTTTGCCAGCTCTCCCTTTGCACTGGGCATGACCTCCTTTACTTTATTTGGCCTTGTTTCGCTGAAATGTCAACATCAGTCCTCGTCTTGATGCCACAACTCATCCCATTGACACAGCCCACATATAAGCTCATTCACAACTCATGCCCACATTTGCGCCATCCATTTTCTAAACAATTCCTTCTTTGTCATATGATATTTTGCTGGCCATGCACAATTCAACTGACTTTAATATATTATAAGCTATTTCTATCTGGCTGACAATATCTCCCAATTGCTTACACTATTAAATAGGCATTCTTTAAAAATCATAAAAGAGTTTATACTGATGTAGTTAGAAACTGTAATTTATTTCTTTAAGCTTAGTTGTGGAGATCATGTAGAGAATTCTTGCTCCTAAGCTCAATGTTTCCTTGGTAATTCTTAGAATTTGTGGTGGAAATAGTCTCTGCCTGTATCCTTTCCTCTCCCATAGGTATACCATGGAATTTTGCATAGCTACGGTTCCACGGGGAAATTTGTCTTATATGTTGCATTCCTCATGTGTTGTTCATCTATTTCAGCACTGAATAAATTGTGTTACCTAATTTGACAGGTTTGTGAGGCACTGGAAGAGAATGCTGTGATGGTGAAGAATAGTCGTGGTGATTGTGGAGCATGGGTGGTTGCCTCTCGGTTGAGAGATCACTTACTTCTTCCTAATGAACGAAAGAATGCTAGTCTATGGAAAAAGGTACTCCTTGAATGTTATGGTAGTTTTTTTATTGGTGCTTCCTTGAATACAGTGCCTATTTGGGCTGTTTTCTTTGTCTGTGTTGTTTTCTTTCCTGTGGATCTTCTCGTGCATGTTGAAGTTTGCAAACTTCAACCCTATGTTAAAGAAATCGGAAACCGAATTGAGAAGGGCTGGTCCATTTCTGTTTCATCACAATAATAGCCATTATGAAGGAAAAGTGGTGTTTAAATGGAAACGGGGAAAGTAGGTAAAAAAGGGTAAAACCAAGGTTTAAAAGCTAGATCAGTGACCTGGATCGGCCACTCCAAAAACCGTGTCAGATCGGTAATCTGGATTAGAGAATTGGTCAGATCAGCTGGTTTCAACCTCAAAAACATTAAAAAAAAACCAAAAATCCTTCAAAATGGTTTTTTTGATTTTGCCAATAAGGGGGTGGTGCATTATGTACTTTTATTATTTTACAAAAATATGTGAATATTAAGATGTCGTTCTCCTGTTTGGATGTTTATCGACCAATGCGTTCACATCATTGGAGCTTACAATCATCATGGGTATCAATACATGGTCCAAAATAGAGCATGGAGCAACGAAAATGCAATCTAATACCAAAATGAAGCTGTTTCTTGTCCTCATTGTGTTGGCGCCTCTGATTGAATTGTCTCGACAATTCATTGAGCCGATCCATGTTCACCTCATAGTCATAGGTGCTGATCTGATTCTGCCCGGGTCGACCATGGTTGGTCTGCTGCTCTCTTAGCCCAAAGTCCCCAAGGTTTGTTTACCCCTCATGATGGATACCACTCTCTCGCTTGCCTTACCCTATTGCTTTCCCCCACCCCTCTTGTTAGATCTCGTATTGTGTATATCCTGGTGGGGACAAAGGTTGTCTCAAAATCATAATATCTCTCATTTCCTCACATACCTCCTTCCTACTCTTCTTCAACAGGTGCAACACTGGCTACATCTCCAACTAAAAATAGAATTGTCGGTGGGGAAGCTCCTCCTGCTTCTCCCTACTTATCAGTATATTCTTCTTCACATTCCTCGCTAATTACCTCAAGGAATACTCTCTTGCGTATCACTGAATCTTCTTCCTCCACCAACCACAGTTGCGTTGTATCTGCGATAAATATCGCATCCAGGTCGATTGGGTTATAATCCTCAATCTTCCTCAGTAGATTTTGTTGTCGGAGCTTCGAATTATGAACGAAAATGAGCTTTTGAAGCCTTAATGAAGTCAACCAAGTTCTTTTAGGAGTGTGTATCCCCTTGAAGGTATTCCAGTGTTGCTTAGATCTAGTAGTTGAACATGTATGGGATAGTACTTTGATTGCTATCCTATTTAAGTGAGGTCCGTCTCCACTACGACACTCCCACCACTCTGCTGAAATGAGATGCAAAGAGCGCTGTAAGAAAGGGCCAAAATATTTCATAAAGTGAATAGTGTAAAAGAAGATGTAGTTGCAAAAGAGGATCCCTTAATCCATCGTACTGCGGTAAGCCATGACAAATCTTATTTCTAATGAGCCTTCCGCTTCCCTATATTTAGACATGCAATAGACATTATGCTTTAGTGCTTTACTTATGGGTCACAGGTGCATCAAGTCAATGAGATTTTTAGGGGCTATAATAATTGTTAAATCTTATCTCACTCAATACTGCTAATTGATTTTTTTGGCTCCTCTCCAACCTCTCAATAATGTATTTCATCCCCTTGATGATCTTGTTAGGAAGAATAGGCACCCAATAAAAACAATTCGGGTCGAAGTAGAAACCTATACAATACAAAGATGGAGAAACCATTTAAATTGATATCGATGAAATATTTTAATTTAAACTTTCTAAGCATATAAGTAAACATTTACCTGCATAATGGATCAGGCCTCCCAATTAACTTTTCACCTTCTATCTATGCTTCTATCTATGATCTCACCATTATAGAGGTGAAACTACATTTCTTCTGAATAGATCTCTTTGCCCTCTCGATCCCTTCATAGACGATTCCCATGGTGGATTTCTTGTCACCATCCACCATTCTTAACAGTCTGACTAAAGTAACAATTGTGAGTTCCATGTGAGCACACTTGGACCAGAATCTCTTATCGGAGATTTTGCCCTCAACATTTTGTCCCACGGGACTTTGCGTGTTTGTCATTGTCCACTCCTCATTGGTGAACAATCTCTTCAATGCAGCTTGGGACTGTACAATAGAGCTCATAGCCACGTAGTCCGTTGCGAAGTAGGTGATAGTGGGCCTGATGAACTCCTTGTCGGTATGCTGTCTCATCAAATGAAGGATCTTGGAGCGGTTATAGATAAATTTTGTGATCGACCTTGTCGAAACGAGTCTCCTTCACATACTTGAGCCCACCAATCTCCTCCAATATGAGATCAATACAATGGGCAGCACATGTGGTCTATACCAAATGTTTCTTTTTATCCATCAACCGTGACTCCACAGGAGTACAAGTCCTGACATTATTTGTAATAACTTGGACCACATATTTCTCTCCTTCCTCCTCGACTATCTGGTCCAATAATTGTGCAATGAACTTTGCTTCCTTCCTCACCCTAGTAACCTCTCTATTGGACAAGAAGGTCTTACCACGTGGGCATTAAACCCAAAAGTTTAGATAATGTTTTTGATTGACTTTGTCCCACCAACCATCACTCTAAACATCGTCTATCTTTGCATCCAAGATTGCTCTGCAAAGCTCATATGTTGTAGGAGGCTTCACCCTAGGCCTTGCTTTTTGAATTTCAGCGACCAGAAAGGGGTAATATGGGTTGTTGGCTGCATTAAAGGGGATTGCTTGATCGTACCACCATTTCCCTGTGGCCCTTCCCATTACATGCCTTGCACCATTGATCATACCTTTGAGGGTCATCTTTAGAGATTAAGACTTCGAGGCTAATGGATCAATGCAATCATTAGCCATTGGCCTCGTTGGTCTACTATTTGCTCTTGTTTTGCCCTCCATGGCACTAGCACTTCTGGACAAACCAGAAGTTGTCTTCTCTACATTTGAAGTGTAGGACGAGGTTGCTCCAGATGACCCCTCTACCGCAGTTGAACTGGCACCAGGTGCCCCTATACCTCCTTGCATACCCATACAAGGCCCTCCGTACATACCCATGCTAGGCCTTGTAAGCATGCTCGAGCTGGGCCATCTATTCATACTCGGGTCATGCTCTTCATACATGCTCCGGCCAGGCCCTCCATACATGCCCATTTCGTAATCACCATGCATGCCCTTGCTGCTCTCCCACCTCTACACTTCTTGCGAGCTAGCTCTCATTGCAAGTTTTATATCGAGGTTGAATTGCCGGTCTAGATCCATGCCACTTGATGGCACATATTAACTAGCGATCTCCTCATCCATCTCGTGTTTGGCTATCTTTGTACTCTTATTAGCCTTGAGGAGAGATGCCATTTGTTTCCTGATGTCGGTAGGTACATTATTACATGGAGCAACCTTCCCCTTGACCTCTGCGAAGTGCTGCTTGAACCGGTTTACTCCACTAGTTATAACCCCTTGGCAGTAGTTACATATGATATTGTCTTTCTTGTTTGCATCAACTTTTACCATGTGTTGCTATGCAAGGTCTTAGATTTAAACATGATGATAACTGTTGAAAATGCAAATGATAAAAAAAATCATACTGAAAGTCCAATATGAGAATCAATTTGCCCTCTGACCTAATGGCCACCAACTTGGCCTAATGGCCTAGTAAGTAACATAGTGCATTGTCATTTTGTGCTTATTACGTGCTAGTGTAGGTCATAAAGTTTTTCCTTAATGATTGTCTTTCTTCTATACTTCTTTTAGGGAAACAACAAACTGTGTTGATGAAGAGTAACCGCTGAACACAAGTTTAGCTATTGCCTAATTGAACGTAACTACTAGCTACCGATGTTCCTGTAATTTCTTCTAAAATGGAATTATAATCAAATAACATCACATGCACACATATTTTAAGAAAAACATGCAACTAATAGGAATTTTAAGAAAAGCATGCTAATGGCAGAATGAATATATTGTCTACAAGAACATGACTGGTGGCCAATGTGCTTATTAGCTCTCCTAAAATTGAGTTCACACCAGCACACTAATGCATCTAAATAAAAGAACAAATATAATGGCTTTATATGATTCATCTTTAAAGAAAAACCAAATGGTATGTCTATGAAAAGTTAATCACCAAGAAAGAATCAATGAACAATGACCAATGTATTAAGGCATACCATTTGAATACAAAATACAACATTGCGGTCCACAAATGGTAGTATCTGTATCATTTGTGCTAATTTGAAATTGGTCAACATTAAAATTTGGTCTCATGAATTTAATTATATAAAATAGCTGAGCTATTCAATACACCAATATTACTACTATATAATCATAATATTGCATCATGATCTAAAAATAATAAGAAACACTTCCATCTTATAAGATTTTAGAAAAAAAAAAACGTATTAAATTTTCAGTTTATAGCATAAAAATTATATCTTCAGAGATATAATTTTTCCCTGAAAATTTAAAAATATATACATAAAATTCGGTTTAATTATAAAAAATAAAAAAATACTGATTCACACATCAGTTGCATGGATAACATACATGCATCAAAAACCCTAATTTTTTTGGTGAAACATTGATTTTTTAAAAAGGCAATTTATCAAAAACCACAAAATTGATCCTCATGTTAGCCAAAATTCTGTTTTTTTCAATTTATATCCATCAATTTGAATATCTAGTACCAAATATAGTCTCATTAGGATCATTTTCAATCAAATTTGAAATTTGATTGAAATTTGAGGAAGGATTCCTAAATTTCGTAGAACATGCGAGCAAACAAAAAAATTGTACAAAAAAGATACATGAAATGAAAAAAAAAAAACCTAATTTATCGTATGATTGGGGCTTTGTAGGTCGAAAGCCCCAGTGAAATTGATCGAAATCAATTGAATGAGGCCGGTCTCTTCGATTTTTGTT